AGAGAGAGAGAGACATACAGACGAGAGACAAATAAATGATCATCAACCCAACAATAAGTCAAGCAACTGGATAGATTTAAAGGGGAAAAAATGTCAAAATCTATCCAGTTGTAACCGTTATTTTTTTGTATTGAGGCTCAGAGCACTATGAAATAATGTGGACGGCACCTGATTGTAGGAGCTCCACGGCGAAGTCATCCCGCCCGCACTCCTGCAGAGCCAGCAGGAGCCTGTCGAACTGCTGCCCGTAGGCCGGTCCTGTCTGCCAGTCCCGGAGGATCCGCATCCGCAGGCCCGTGTCTGCAGCAGACAGATCTTTCTCGGGCTGCGGAACGCGCAGAGCCTGGGCCACCTGCTTCCACTCCCGTCTGTCCAGGGTGACGGCCAGGCGGCGGAGCAGTTTCGTCGTCTCTTCGTCGTCTATGGGGAAGATTGTAGGAGAATACGTTTTGTAGGCCAATGTTGGAGGAAAAAAGGATGAGGTACGAGTAGAAGACAAAATTTACTGTGGAACCTGAGCCATGGCAACAGAAGACCACACTTGACTTGAATTAAACAGCAACACTTCGGGGCGTCGGATGACGGACACGAGATTGAAAGGTCGCGGGTTCGATTCCTGGTTAGATGTTTTGTCCTTTGGAAAGGCAATCAACAAAACTTTCCTCACCCTAAAAAGTAGTACCTGACTTCGGTTCGGGAGGTGGAAGGAGAGGAATGGGTTCCAAATTCCAATACCCTGCACTAGACACAGTGGATTAACAACCCACTGCCCCTGGCCAACAGCCTGAAAAAGGCTATGAGACTACCATTTACAACACTTCGTTTTTGTTGTTATTGTCAGCTTCGTTAATGCCTGTTTCGTGTTGACATTTCACTGTTTCGATGGCTATTGTTGCCTGAATGTCAAGTGGGCTTCCAGGGAAATGGTAGAAATAAAATAGGTAGGATTCCTATCAAGGGCAAAAGAGGTAATATGCAGGTAAATGGTGATCACACAGCGTGTTACTGAGACTCACCTGTCTCCTGACTTCTGCTCCTCTCAAACACTTTAGAACTTGTGACGTCAGAAGGCACTTCTGGATGAGCAGATAGACCTGGACGTGCCGCTTCATCTGCAGGAAAAATTCAACTTCTTGTAAAATATCTTTGGAAGGTACAAATAGAATCATCAACCAAATTCAAAGACTCAAACATCTACACCCACTGGTTTACCCCTTTATAGGGGAACTTTATTGACACAACAAAAGTACAGTGACTTTCGTAAGGTCTAAGGAAATAGGAAATAGGACATAAAGTATAGATAGGTTTTAGGAAACTTCAGGCAGAGGGTTATAAGTAATAAAAATGACTCAGTGTTAGGTTGTACCGTCTTATCAACCATACCTAATTTCAAAGATACGAATCCAGATGAAAGGTCGTAGGACTGTTCCTCAATTGGCTCAGGGCGCTGGAGGTCGGTGTCAAGCCGTTGGTCATTGGTCTCAAGAGGTTGGACATCAGTCTCAAGTGATTGGTCATCAGTCTCAAGAGGTTGGCTATCAGTCTCAAGGCGTTGGTCATTGTTGTCCTCGCTGGCTTGGATGTTGGCGTTGCTCTCCTCTATTGGCATGTCTCCAACAAGACCTACAAGAAGACGAAAAAAATACTATCAATTCTCTCCAAAAGTTAACCACAGATGAATTTAGAATTAATCTAACTGACACTGTTCTGACCTGGAGCTAGCATCAATCATAAACTAATTGTAGTTTCAACTTCTTCGAATTCAAAAGAGTCCGAACACATGTTAGCCCTAGGGGACATTAAGGAAGATTCGTTCAAGGATAGTTAAAGGATAAAGGACTACCTGTATGTTTACAAAGATGGGTAGCTGTAGGCAATTAGCATTGTTTGGAATGGCTGTCGGCATGCCTTATGTGTTGTTGCAATCCGAGTAAAAACAAGAAGGACTAAGACACCTCAAAAAGCCCTACGGAGACAGTAAGATGTACACTAGTACTCTTACCTTCAGCCGAGACGGTTGTCTCTTCTTGCCTTGTTTCATCCTCGGCGTCTCCAGGCTCTGACAGGAGTCTCAGGAGTGACGTCAGCTTGTAAATGTCGTCTGTGTTGGAGGAATGTGTGTTCGTACTAAAACGTGGGCTGTTCCTCCCTGGACTGTCCCTCCCTGGGCTGTTCCTCCCTGGGCTGTTCCTCCCTGGGCTGTTCCTCCCTGGGCTGTTCCTCCCTGGGCTGTCCCTCCCTGGGCTGTTCCTCCCTGGACTGTTCCTCCCTGGGCTGTTCCTCCCTGGGCTGTTCCTCCCTGGGCTGTCGCTCCCTGGGCTGTTCCTCCCTGGGCTGTCGCTCCCTGGGCTGTTCCTCTGTGGGAGACAGACCGGCATGGGACAGTCCGGCGGCGAGGGATAGTAGTTCGTCCCTGGGCTGTCACTTCCTGGACTGTCCCTTCTTGGTTGTTCTGACACAGCTGCAGCGGCAGTGTCGGGACCTGCACCGTTTGGGATCTCTATCACCTTGACATTATCGTGACCTGTAACAATGGGAATCATCAATACATCATACTCCAATATGGTATTCAAAGAGTGTTAAATCACTGCATAGTTCAATACTGAACTAAGATTATACTTGTTCTTAAGATGTTACGAAGTGGTGTTATCTATGGAATCTACATAACGTATAAGGCTGGCAGAGATTAGTAGTAAATAAGATGGCTGAGAAAAACTTATCAAGAACCTAGCAGATTATATGGTTATGTATTGGACTTAAAAATGCATGATCCTACTCACTGTTTGAAGCCACAGCCCCTTGCAGTTCGTCCAGCATATCCTGTGAAGGGTTCCTGATGCCGATGGCCAGGTTCATGTTCACCGCCCTCCCCTCGGCCGCAAACTCCGGCAGGAAAGTCTCCAGGAGAACCTGAAATGTCCAGGAACATTAGCTCTCTCTCTCTTTCTCTTTCTCTCTCTGCTCTGTGTGTCTCTTTCTCTCTCACCCCCTCTCTCCATCTCTCTATCACACACACACACACACACACGCTCTCTCTCTCTCTCTCTCTCTCCCCTCCCTCTCTATCCGGTTTAACGTCTGTTGTTCCCCATGTTAGGGTTAGACGTGCTTGTACACTGAAGCTTACAAAATTAATGTTGTAATGTCAGCTACCAGACATATGTAATAAAAGTATCCGAAGTATACCTGTTGGAAGGTCCCGTCTCTGGCCATGCGTAGGAGCTGAAGCCGGTCTGCTTCTGTGGGAACCTCCAGCTCCAGCAAGATGCACCCCTCTCCCGCATTTTTCAACTTGCACCGCACGTTACATTTCTCTGCCATCATTGCCGCGAACCGTTGGCGAGTTTCTTCGTGACCAAGTCTCTCAAAAATATCCTCTTTTTGTTTCGGATTGATTCCGAGTTTGATGCAGGTTTTCACAAATTCTATAGAAAAGGGTCAAGCAATACAATTGGTTTCAATACAAGCTCCAATAGGCAGATAAGAATGCTAAGCAGAGAGTAGAAGAGAGAATAATTCTGTGTAGACTATGCGTTGTAGTATACTTCTGAAATAGGCATATCATTTCAGGCATTCAAGATTGAAAGACATGTTTGTGCATTGTTGGAAAAATTATCCACAAGGAACCCATTCTTGTGTCTAATACATCAACTTTTGTTCCAAAACGAACATCGAAAAGCCCTATTCCCTGAAGCAATAGTACTATAAAAGCTAAGCACTGCTAAATTTTAGTAAATGTGACATAAAGCTTACCGTTTTCTTGTGGAGTCACTTTCGGTGCCACTTTCTCCACCACCATCCGGTTGTGGTTCCCGACCTGCACGGTGCCACAGTTGTTGATGTACACGGCGACTGTCGCAGCCCCGATGTGCGGCCGGCATGCTTCACCGCAAGATGCAGACGCGGCGTTTCACTCTCGTCTGTTTGGGCAAGGCTCAGAACGTTGCCGATTCCCACCTGTACGGCAACGGCGTTCTCCACATGAACTGTAGAAGGGGCTGGACCAGTTCTTGGGCAAGATTCTGACGGCAATGGCGTACTAGCAACACCAGGAGCTTCTTCAGACATTCCTTCTGCTGGGATGTCTGTGGCTTCTGTATCTGGCACCAGACTTGCGCTGCTGATTGGTGGCTCCAGTGGTGACGTGTTTGTCTCTGCGGTGCTTGTATTAGATGATGTTGCTACGGTATCCTCTTCTAGATCTTCTTGAGGCTCAGCTTCATCATCAGCATCAGCATCTCTGTTGGCGTCATCGTCATCTTCTTCATCTTCATCTTTAAGGTTTGCTTTTTCTTCCCAATCTTCTTCATCATCATCATCATCATCTTCTTCTCTTGGAGGATGCAGGAACTGGTTGGGAGGTTGGACCTCCCTCCTCGCGTTATCCCCATGGCCACCATCACCATCATTACAACTCGACTTTGGATTCTTACAGACCGTGCTCTCTTTTACCGTGTTTTGAAGGTTGCTGTTTTCCTTGTTTGCCACCTCTGCCTGAAGAGTTCCCATTTTGTTCGGGTTGCTTCCCCTTCCCAGCATGTCAACGTGGCTGTTACGAAGGCGGCTCTTGGTCTTCTTGACTTTTGTACGTTTAGAACGTCTGCGCCTGGTTCTTTTATAGTTAAATTCTTCAGTACTCGGACCTTCCTCTTAATAAAATGACTGAGTTTCTTTCTAATGTATATCCAGGGACATCTGAAAAACATTTCAAGGGCCTAATCATGAGTGTGATCCGATAAGATTGTTATATGTTGGGTATATTTCTGTAAAGCTGGTACCTATCATCCATTCAGAACGTGTACAGGAGGTTTAAAATACTCCAATCGCAATCATACTCACATCCAATTCTTTTAGTTGCAACGGTACAATAGGCGGCAACTTCATTCAAATACTAACGTTCAAACCATTAGGAAGCCTTGGAACGTATACCCCCCCCCCTAAGACCGTTCAAATGGTCCAGCCCGAACCTTATTTACGCCACATCGTCCACCTGCCAGGTGACCTTAAGGACGTTGACTCGGAGAAAGTAACGGAAATCCCCAAAGCTGTTCCTATGGCAACACTGAGCTCACGGGACTTTCCAATCATGACGCAATACCACGTGCTTCAATTAGTTCCCCTTTCTATACTTATGCTAACTCAGATCTACAAAGAGCAACGTCCTTGTACACACATCGTGAAAGTTAGACACTAAGGTAATAAGATACGCCAAAAAGTTACTCATTCGACAAGCAACTGGATATGATTTTGGAAACGGTCAGACGTTTCAGCTAGCATCCACTACCTTTCGTCAGTGACACTATAGAGTTGTCAGAAAAGCTGGTTTATAAGTACACGTTAATAGGCTACTTATATAAGAAGTTTATTGCAAATTCATGCCCGGGGGGCTAATTGCAAACATAAAAGAACAATGAAACGTAGTATAAAATAACTAAAATCTACATGATGAAAGGTAGTTGTCTAGAGCTATAGCTATGTCTAAAACTATGTCTAAGGGGTTTGACTTCTCTTTTTTAGACTATGGAAGACGTAATGTCCCACCTTTTCTAAAATTAGTGGGTTTTGGGAAGTTAAAAGAAGAATAGTTTTTTCTTGGTCTGTAAGTTTAGTAAAATTGGGATAAATTGTAGAAGTTTGAATAGTTAACTCATTTCGAGCGTTGCTATGAAAGGAACAATTTGAGATAAAGTGTATTTCGTCTTCCACAGCCTTTGCATTACAATATTTACAAATTCTTTCACATACAGGTAGCCTTCTATACCGACCTCTCTCTATCTCCAAAGGATGGGCGCTAACTCTAATTTTGCTAATGGCTGAGCGCAGTTCGAAGTCTGCAAGATTAAGATATCGCTCTGTGTTGTACATAGTTTTACATTTTGCATAAAATCTTAACTTACCACTATCAGTTGACATAGTATGAAAAAATGTTTGTATATGCATATCTGTAAGTCTCCTTCTCAGCATTTTCACAACATGTTCAGGATCATAATGTGAGTTTTCGGAATGCCACAGAAAGGAGTATCCATTGTGATCTAATATGTCTTTAACACGTTGAAGTAAAGTTCGTCTACGGGTATTTGTCGGAAGGCTTTGTTGTAAGAGGATTGCATCCCTTTGAAGGGGGTGTGAAGTTGTATCTAATTGGACCAGGCGTAACCAGAATTTAACTACATATATACAAATATCTATATCTAAAGGGAATCTACCTAATTCTGCTCTACATGCGACATTGCTACTATTTCTAAAAACACCGAGAACATTTTTACAGAACTGGTTGTGTACATTTTCGATAGGTGAGGTATCATGTTGCTGTTCAGTCCCCCATATTTGACATCCATACAATAAAATCGGTTTTACACATGTGTCAAAAATCTTTAGGAGGCTACGTGGTAAGACTGATGAACGGATAATAGATTTGAAACTATAAATAGCTTTGCGTGCCTTCAGTGATAGCTGCTTTTTAGTTAGGGTGAAGCTACCTGATGATGTAAGGGTTAGGCCTAAATAGCAGTAGGAGGTAACGTTGTCTATTGTATTGTTTTCAAAGTAGAACTTTTGCTTTGGAAATGAACGACCTGCTTTGTTAAAAATAACAACTTTAGTTTTTTCAAATTTACTTGGAGTTTCCATTTGTCGCAGAAGTTACTTAATCTATCTATGGCCGATTGTAGACCTTTGTCTGATTCTGAAAGTATTACAACATCATCGGCATACAATAAACAAGAGACATATAGATTATATAAAGAAGGTGGCATACATTCTGAATTATCTAACTCTTTCACTAAGTCATTAATAATAAATTAAAAAGGT